AAAGTTTTGTCAAAAATGATTTTCTCCATCAAATGTTTTAAACGGAAAAAAAAATTCGTCAAAAATTTTGACGAAATATTTTCCGTTCAAGATTTCGATGGAAATGTATTTTGAAAAAATTTCGAAGGAAAATTGTTGTCAAAATTTTTGAGGGAAACGGTTCATTTGAAACTTTCGACGAAATTTAAATTCTATAAAGAATTTTCACAGAATATTTTTCTGTAAAAGGTTTTTATCGAAATATTTTTCGTCAAAAATTTTTACGAAAATATTTCTGTCGAAATTTTTTGACAGAAATATGTTGCGTCGAAAATTCTGGTGGAAATATTTTTTTATCAAAAATTTTGACAGAAATATTTTCCGTCGAAAATTTTCAATAGAAATGTGTTTCGTTAAAAATTTCGACGGATATTTTTTTTGTCAAAAAGATTAACGAAAATATTTTCGTCGAAAACTTTTGACAAAATTTAAATTCTCTAACGAATTTTGATGAAATTTTTTTTCCGTCAAATGATTTTTGATGGAAATGTGCTTCGTTGAAAATTTTGATAAAAAAAATTTTCGTCAAATTTTTTGATAAATATGTTTTTTGGTGAGATATTTTGACGAAATTTAGATTCCATAAAGAATTTTGGCAAAATTAATTTTCCGTCAAAATTTTTTATAGAAATGTTTTTAATCACAAATTTTTTATGGAAATATATTTCGTCGAAAATTTTTGATGAAAATGTTTTCCGTAAAATTTTTTGACATAATTGTCTTACGTCGAAACTTTTCAATAGAAATTTGTTTCGTCAAAATTTTGGACAGAAATATTTGTATTGAAAGTTTTGACGGAATTTAGATTCTATTAATAATTTTAAATGAATTTTTTTCCGTAAAAAATTTGTCGGTGATTATTGCAAAATCTGATTTATCTCTAATTTCGTCTTTAGTTTTGACGGAAAGTTTTTGACGTATATTATTTTCATCAAAAATTTCATCACTATTTTTTGACGAAATATTTTTCATCGATAAATTCTAACGGTATTTGAGATTTTTCTAATAATTTTACATTTAAAAATAATTCACATTTATGTAATTTTCACATTTTAATGGTAAGGGTAGATAAGTAATTTTAATTATTTCCTCCCTTAAACCCTCCAAATTGGAGGAACTTTAATTTTAAGAAGGAGGGTTTTAGAGGGTTTAGTAAAAATCCCCAATTTCTTCCCATTTTTTTTTTTTTAACTCCCAAACAAAGGAAGGGCTTACTAAAATCCTCCCTTTCCTTTCCTTTTCCTCCTAAAACCAACTCACAAACAAAGGAAGAGATTAATAAAACTCTCCCCTTCCCATTCTTCCCCTCCAAAAATCAATTCCGCCTAAAAAAACAGATGAAGAGCAGGGATTGGAATTGCTGATAGTATAAGGAGACGTGAGAATGAGAAAGACATAACTTGTCCCTAGTGACAGGACTCCTTTGTTGTCGCTGCAGAATAATTAAGCTACACGTTTCTAACATTAGAGAAATGACATTAGAAACAATATCTGATTCTTACCACTCGAGGAAAAGAGGAAACTGACCCACCGCATCAGGAATTATCTTGTTGTAGACTTACTCCACAAGACCTACTCAATGCTTATATGGTGACGGTGGTGGACACATTATCTATAGGGTTTAATAATAAAAAATTAAGGTAATGGTTCTTGTGAATTTTTTTTTTCATATATCATGCCTTTTTATATCGTTTTTACTTTTTATGTATTATCACTAACCGGTTTTCTCCAATCATAATGAGTAGGTTAGTAGCCAGTTCATGATCGTCTCGAACTCTTTGATCCTATCTCCAATTTATATAATACTAGTGTTTTTGTCACTTCTCAATATGAGGATTGGAGAATTAAATACATAAAATAAGTTTTTAATTGAATAGAGTATTCTGTAAAACTTTGATAAATGCATGATACTTTTTTTTTAAGTTTTGTCATTCGCATATTATTTTTATTACCCTATTTCTGCTTTAAAGTTTTAAGTAATAAATTGAGAAAAACATACATAAAATTAGAATGGCTTATTTGTTTTAAACAAGTTCCACAACAGCATGTGAACTATGGTAGAACATTACCAATATCCATGGGAGCCAGGGTGTACTATTGTTACATTGTCCCAAAAATTTCAAACACCAAATTTCCCATTTCAACCGGTTGAACTTTTCTTTTTCTTTGGTATTCCAACCGGTTGAACTTAATTAAAGCTTATAACACTCTCAAAAGTTTTACTCACATTCACAACGAATGTTAAAAATATGGAAAAATATTTGTCATTTTAACTAACACAAAATTATGTCATTTTTTTAGTTATCCAAAAAAAAATTATGTTATTTTTAATGAAATTACGTCGTTTTGGTAAGTTTTTACATTTTCTCTCCTCAATTTTCTTTTTATTTCTAATTTTATAAATTAAAAAAAACACACCAAAACGACGTAGTTTCGTTAAAAATAACACAGAGTTATGTCATTTAAAATGACAAACACTAAACCCTTTAAAATATGTACATAATTTGGCCCCATTTCACACAGATTTCCGGATCCGCCACTACCAATAGTTGGATCTTTGCTTAGCTAAGCAATATTAATCATCTCATTATCTGACTGTTTTGGATGGTTTATAGATAAAACTGATTATAAAATTAAATAATTGAAGGAGAAAATTGGAAATAGAAATTAAAGTAGTTCAAGAACCCTCGATGTGAGTATATGTAGTCCGACCAAAACAATTAAAATATAAAATATTGTCGAGTCAAAAAATAAAATATTGGTCCGTCCAAAAAAGAAACAAATGATTCACAAACAAAATGTGGGTGTAAACGGTTAAACTGAGAGAACTGAGTATCCTTCGAAAATGTTCAAACCTAGCTGCAGGGTGATATTCATACAGTGAAATGCCACGCATTCTCATAACCCATATCCTGTTATTGGTGGTAGCGTAGAAGATCTATGTTGTCGGTTTGAGTAATATTAATGAAAACATAAAATTGCATGCAATCACACTAAATCAGAACGCAATATGCAAGGCATAAATATTGTAGAAATTTAAACCCGAGCCCAGTATTGTATATTGTGTCTTTAAGGCAATTTTGCCTCTCAATAGTGCATAAGATTCGTAGACAAATGCCTTCTAGGATAAAACGAGTTATCTTTGTTTCGACAGTGGCATAACCAAAAGAAACAATACTGGAGGACATAATGAACACTGATAAATCGCACAGAATGAATGCACAAGATTTCAAACACTTTATTTTACAAAGTTTTGGTATGAGAGTTAAATTAGCTAGAAAAAGTCACAATTTATTCTGATTCCCTTCCTTATTTATAAACTATGGCTGGTAGTGATGAATGGTGCCTATTAGCAGTGATCAAGAGTCGTGCCTGTTCGACAGTGAAAAGTAATGTCGGTTGATATGCCTTCAGCATATATATGATTTTAAGCCAAAAAGAGAAAAAATCTTGAACAATCTTGAATAAAAAGGGCTATAATTGTTATTAAATTGATAAATCTCAATCAGATATCTTGTCACTGATTTTCTTATAAATTTGTAGAAAAACAGATAAGGAAGAAGCCCAATTGAAAGCACAAGTCTGAAGCCCCGCGCTACTGGCGTGAATAAACCAGCATCAACTTCCAACACAATGCGACCACGCTACTAGCGTGGCACTGGCGCTAGCAGCGCCAGCCATTTTTGCCAACTGCGCCATTAGCACGAGATTCACGCTAGTAGCGCGAAGCTACTGTATTCAGACAACACTTTCACGCTATCAGCGCCAAGGCACGTGATAATTTTTAAACTTATCTCAGACTGTATCAGAGGAGATTGGTCCCAAGATATACGATGAAGATTCGATCAAGATTTCTAGACAAGGGCACAAAGTCTATAAATAGAGACTCAGACCCCAGAGGAAACCATCTTTGGCTGGAGAGAATTGTGAAAACAGAGAATTGAGAGAATTTTTGGAGACTCACGCTGGAGATCAGGATTCCACCGAAGTTGAAGACCGAAGACCATTGATCCTTCATCTTCTTCTTTTCTTTTGCTTTCGTGAACAATTTTTATTATTTTAATTTGTTTAAGTCAGACATGAATATGTCTGACTAAGTTCTTTTTGTAGTTGGGATCACGGACCCCATGTGAATCCTTTATAGTTTTTATATTGTTTTTATAAATTAATTAGTTTAGTTAGTTTTATTCCGCCTATGTTAATTTTTTCATATCCTTGATAGAATTAATCGCTCTATTATAGGGTTTTGAGGGTTAGGACTCACAATAGACATATTGGGGTTTTAATCTGGACAATGGTAGAATAACAATTTGTGCATAACCTAGACATAGGCTTACATAGATTGCAGACTTTTAATTTATTTGTTTAATGCTTAATTCAAGAGGAATTACTAGGACACTAGAATTCTAATTGGGTTAAATGATTGAAATCACTGAGATATTAGGGTTCAACTATTTAATAGGGATATAATGAATTGTGTGAGCTAATAAACTAGTTAATTATAAAATACAATTTAGGAATATAAGGGATGATCGAAAGTGATATGCATCCTGGCTACAGCTCTTTTACAATTTTTAATCACTCATATTTTCTTGACATTTTTGATAAATTCTTGCATGCTTTTAAATATTATTATTTTTAAAATTACAACAACCAATTACTTTCACAATCGAAGTAATTTTCTTTTCCAATTAAAAAGGAAATAGTTAAAATTAGTCATTAGTGCATTAATTCTCGAGGGGACGATATTTACTCATCACTTTTATTACTTGAAATGAACGGTATACTTGTCGATTTCGTAAGATCTGTTCACCTGTGAAAAGTCATGTCCGTTTCTTATTCATAACATTAAGAATTCCATCATATCCTCTTCTATAAATACCCCTTCTGCACTTTGCTTTCCACAATAAACACAGATATTGAGGTGTTAGTTGTAAGTGCTGAAATCAAGACAGAGAAATATGGAGCTTTTAGTGCTAACGGGGGCTCTTAGCTTCGTGACAATGTTAACTCTCTTCTTGCTCTTGAAACTAACGTTTTGTTGGTGGATTTTGCCCATCCAAACACATCGAAAGCTTAAAAGATGTGGGTTTGGAGGACCAACCCCAAGTTTTCCAATTGGAAACATTCAAGAGATGAAAAAGAAGAATAGCGTTAATGCTTCACTCGGGTACTCAAAACTCACCCATGATATACATTCCACCGTTTTTCCCTACTTTTCTCGGTGGCAAATTTCTCATGGTATGTGCATATATAGTTATATACTTATATATATGTAATGTAATGAAAACTAACATTTATATGTATGAACCCAAGATGGACCCGCATGCATGTTTTGGGGGCTTCAATAAGAAGTGAAATCATGCATGATTTTGATTCTGTTTTTGTAGGTAAGGTGTTTATCTACTGGCTGGGGACGGAACCATTTTTGTACATTGCAGAGCCAGAGTTCTTGAAGAAAATGTCCACAAAGGTGATGGCCAAGAGATGGGGAAAGCCTAGTGTCTTTAGAAATGACAGAGACCCCTTGTTTGGGAGTGGTTTGGTCATGGTTGAGGGCGACGATTGGGTTCGTCACCGGCATGCTGTTGCCCCCGCATTTTCACCTCTTAACTTGAAGGTTTCTCTTTCTCGATTTCTCGCACTCCCTTTGATCTAGCTAGGCATATAGACATTTTTTTTTAATTGTTGCGTCGCATTAATTCAACTAGTTTAAATCTTTTATTTTTATTTTTATTATTTTATTTTATTTTATTTTTTGAAAATATTCCAATCGATTCATCGCTTCGCGACTAGTCCGATTCGGGGCTGGTCCAGGATTAAGGCTTTAAACTTCTCCCAAAAGTGATACTGGGGATGATCGAACACATACACTCACCCACACCTGTTCAGCTTCCATCCGTCAACTGAGCTACCACTATTTGATAATCTTTTATTTTTTCTTATCCTAGCTAAAAGGTCTAAACTTTGCATGTTATGGTTAATTTTGAAAAGTACCGGCCCATTAATCGTTGTAGTTGATATGATGTTTATACTTCATAGTTTAAACCCCAAATAAGGACGTTCAACTTTTTGCACTCCTTTAACCTCAACTTGCTAAGCAATTTCACATTATATGTAGGAAGCTCCTACGACATGGTCCACCTACAAACGTTGTAGTGTTCATTAAAAAACGTTTATAAGTATTGATGAGCTCAACGGAAGTTGGGCTGGATCACACATTGTTAACTAAGTCTGGAAGAATAAGAATCTGAGTGGATCTGCTCTAAGATGCATGTTGTCATGGGATACTCATGCAGGACGGTTGTGCTGGTACTATATAGCTCTGTTTGGATTAGACAAATGTGGAAGATACCCGAAACATACTCTAACACTCAAGTCAGTATTTGATCAATAAACTTTTAAGTTAAGATATCTTAACTTGGCTTCAAACCTTCGTTATATAGGGATTAGATGTTCTGTGTATGTTGTCTTAGTATGATGACACTTAATTTCATTGGTGGACTATGGCGGCCTATCCAGTGTCTGGGGTGAGCTATGTTTTTTAGGCATAGTTGGATTCATGTGCATGTCCTTTTGTCATTGATTGTTGAGGAGACTCTAGTCATGAACTACTGTTGTCGTTGTAGGTTTGCGGGATGCACACATTTCTTTACTCTTTGGTCTTGATTATATTAAGCCTCTTGGGCCATACATGATATTGGATCCAATATCTCACATATTGAATTCAAATCAAGTAATAATGAAAATTCATAACTATTAATCATGCAGCAATAAAAATATTTTAATTTGTATATCGTTGTCTACTTGTCTATCATTTTAATTATATTTTTAATACACAATAAATTAAACTACTAAATGCTTTCCTTAGTTAGATATCACCTAACAATCTATGTGCATACTAATTGGTTTACATTATGGTGAAATAGACAATGGCAAGCATAATGGTGGAGTCAACGAAGCAAATGCTAGAGAGGTGGGGCACTCAAATTAACTGCGGCAACCCTGAAATCGATGTGGAGAAAGAGATAATAGCAACGAGCGGAGAGATCATAGCAAGGACAAGCTTTGGCATGAAATACAAAGACGTCAAGGCAGTGTTTGAAAAATTACGAGCCCTACAAATAACTCTTTTTAACACCACCCGATATGTTGGTGTTCCCTTTGGCAAGTGCTTCAACCTCAAGAAAACCCTAGAAGCCAAAAAACTTGGTAAAGATATCGATAGGATCTTGTTGTCCATCATAACGGCTCGAATGAAATCAATCAAAGGACAAGATCAACAGGATTTATTAGGGCTATTGTTGCAAGAAAATCATCAAGATGATGATGACCAGTTAGGGAAGGCATTAACAACACGAGATCTTGTTGATGAGTGCAAGACCTTCTTCTTTGGTGGCCATGAGACAACAGCACTTGCTATCACATGGACTTTGTTTCTTCTAGCTATCCATGAACATTGGCAAATCCAGTTGAGAAATGAGATAAGGGAAGTGGTGGGTGACAACGAAATTGATGTCAATGTGGTTGCTGGGCTGAGAAAGGTAAGATAAACTTAATCGTAATTAAATAATAAAATGTATACATAAATATATATATATATATATATATATATATATATATATATATATATATATATATAGTTAAGCAAGAAATAATGCAACACCGCACGAGTAAGTATATACCTGTATGGATAAGTAGGAAACATAGCTTTGCGGATATTTAAGATCCATCCCATGTCGCTTCTAGGTTAATTGTGTTGGATTTTAGTTTTAAAAACTAAACCTAATAGGTCACATGTCCTATTGTTCCAATCTAGTTTGAAATTAGGTTTATTTTCTTACATGTAAAATTGTTTTAACAGTTAGCGATAAATAAATAAATAAATAATTATTTTAATTTAAAATGTATTAATAGCTAGGATCTTGCATGTGAAAATTAATGTGTTGACCCTATGCAGATGAAGTGGGTGATGAATGAAGTTCTAAGACTATACCCACCAGCACCGAATGTGCAAAGGCAAGCAAGAGAAGACATTAAAGTTGATGACTTAACAGTGCCGAATGGAACCAACTTGTGGATCGATGTCGTAGCAATGCACCATGACCCTGTATTGTGGGGCAAGGATGCGAATGAGTTTAGACCAGAGAGGTTCATGGATGATGTCAATGGTGGGTGCAACCACAAGATGGGGTACATACCTTTTGGGTTTGGAGGGAGAATGTGTGTTGGTAGGAACTTGTCCTTTATGGAGTATAAGATTGTATTAACCCTACTCCTCTCTAGGTTTAGTTTCAAACTTTCACAAGGATATCAACATTCTCCTTCTATCATGCTCTCCCTAAGACCAACATGTGGTCTTCCCCTCATAGTTCAGCCCCTTTAAATAACCATTAGTACTTTCTTCGAATAAGAGCATTGATTTAGTGGTACAAGCAACAAGGAAATTATTTCCCCAAATAATTAAGAGGTCTTGAGTTGGAGTTCTTCAAATGGAGAAAATGATCTTGAAAAAGTTGTCCCCTTAACGAATCTGGCAATTAATATTCGAGTTGAGCTAATCGAGTAATCGATGAACCAATGAATATGTATATATAAAAAATATAGTATAGCCTTATTCTTCTTAATTAAGCTAAATGTGAAAGATATGTATGGCTCAATATGTTGCTCCAAGATAAGTTATTTAGAATGTCATCAGTTGTTTTTTTGTCAATGATTCGATCGAGTTTCTTTATTTCATACACATGGCTTGTCTTCTTCATTATCTACATGAATTTCAAGAAACTTTCTATCTAATTTAAGAATTTGGATTTGACTGCGTGCTTCACCAATTAATACGAAGCTAGCTAGCGAAACATGAAACTTTAAATCATATAAGTAGTTATAAAATCATCACTTTTAATTTACTTTTGAATAGTTGTAATTTTCTTACATGACTATATATCATGTTTTATTTAACATGAGATATGCCTCACAATACTGGAAAATTGACGTAGTTGCATTACCTTCGACATCATTAAAGTGTCTATTGTGATGGTGGATAGTTGAATTTCTATTCATTTATGATGTCTTCAATTATATAATTATTACCAAGATGCTTTTGCGATTATATATAAAGTTTATGATCCTAAGATTCTATAACAAAAGAAGATATGTTTATCATAAATAATAATAAAAATTGATAACATCGATCTTTCTAAATTTCCATATCTTATCTAGATTTCCTTGAAGACTATGTACAAATGTATCAGTGGACATGGATTAGGATTACTATTCAAAATGTATATAATTTTTTTTGGGAACAAGTGGATTAATTAAGGTCATTCAATATTTATTGTGACAATAATCCATCTGGTCCCATCAAGTACTTTTTGTGGCCTGGTTCTCGTGACTAGGAGAGGAATTGCAGCGCTCCCAACCCATGGAATTTTGGGTGCTACCTCTCTTAAAATAGGGGGAAAATAGGAAAAGAAAAAAATAAATAAAAATCCCTCATCTGAGATAGACTATTAAATAATTAAGTGGGCCTGAATCATTTAATAATTTTTTCGTGACTAGGGCCCACTTATGTGTTTATTGTCTCCAAAAGAAACCTCATCCCACTTTTTGTTTTTGTGACACTAATCCTACTTTATTAAGTGGCTATTTAATAATAGCAGCTTTATTGACTCTCGCACTATTAATTAAGGAAGTTAATTAATTAATTACGAGAAAATAGGAAATGATTCCATAATTGACTTAGTAGTTATGAGAAGACTTAAATAATTATAGTAAATGAGTAATAATGCTGAAAGCCGCTTTCTGACGAAAAGCGCAGATATCGGTTCTGCTACTCGGTATAAATGCGTACCGATGGAGTATCCCAGAAAATTATAATAAGTATGGGAATATTCCTAGAATAATATATAGGACTTGTAAAACAAGTTTCAAGTTCAAATAATGAGAACTGGTGCCAGAATTGATACTGGCTATGGAAAAGCGCATACCGAAAAGGTGCTGCGAAAAATAAAATAAAAATATGAAAAATCTTAGGAAAATGAGTAGGTTCGAAATCTAAAGTTTGAGATTAAAATGTTAAGCTTAGCTATTAATGTTAATTTAAGTGGACCTATTTAAGCTAAAAGGCACAAAACCCTAGGCCATAATTTGGCTGCTACGTGAGTGTCTTGGTTGCTGATTGCTTCAGCCATTTCCTCTTCCCCTCTTGAAAGCCTTGGCCTTTGCTCATGAAATGGGACCAAGAAATCACCTTTGTAGTGAGTTTTTCTCTTGGTAGTTGTAAACACTGAGTTAGTGAGCATTGTGAGGGAGTTAGTGAAGCTTTTCTGAGTGTGTTATTGCTGACTTTGGGGCTGTAATTCTGAGTTTGAGTAAGTGGAGCTTTGTTCTTGGCTTCTTGAGCTTCAAGAAGCCACCTTTTGGCATAAAGGGTCAAGCTTGAGATGTATTTTCGTAGCTTTGTGAAGTCAGAACCTGGGTGCTGTGTTGGAGGCTTCTTTTCTGTTTCATTTTCAGAGTTGTGAGCCTTAGAGGTATATCATGACCATAGCTTTTGTATTTTGATGTTTAAAGCTTGTTTAACCAGTTAAAAAGAGAAAATTTAATCATTTGGGTAAAAGAATGTGTTTCTGAGTTCATAACATGGTAATGAACATCTGTTTAGGGAGTCATTGGACTCCCAATCGCATTTGGACCCTTTGAATTGGGATTATGCATATCACTATTCGTATTTCTGCATTCTGGTGAAGAAGTATTCGAATACTTTTCGTGTAGTATTTGAATACTTGTTCACTGGTAGTCGAATACTCCTTGCTGGAGTACTGGAATACTTTTCTGGGAAGAAAAGTATTCAGATACCTTTGAAGAAGTATTCGAATACTGAAAAGTATTCGAATACAGTGAGGTTTGGTATTCGGATACTGTGGTATTCGGATACTGGGGGGAAAAGTATTCTGATACTTGTAAATATTCGAATACTTAAGTGAAAGTAATCGAATACTTTCTGGAGACAGGGAGTATTCGAATACTCATCAAGGAGTATTTGAATACCTCCTGCAGAAACAACATGAAATGAGCTAAAATGAGTAAAAAAGCCTTAATCACTTAGTGTGATCTCGAGTAATGATTATTGATGATTAATTATTGCTTAAACAGATTGTGATTGTGCTGTTTGTGGGCCTTGAGCTAAGTGTGGACTCTTGGCTTGGATAATTAACTTGCAATGTAAGCTTTCGTGTCCTCGGTTTTGCCATTGTTGGTTCCACCATGTTCCATGGGGGGATGGTTTATATGCATGATGTCGTTTTCATGTATTGTTTTGATAATGCTATTGAGCTGTTATATGCGAGTGCCTTTATGATATGCATGTGGTGTTCCACTTATACGGTAAGCCTGAGTATGTGGGGACATACAAGATGGTGAGGCTGTGGGTGAGGTGCAAGCGATGTGCCTTGTACTTATTATGGGATTGTAGACGTACGTCCTGCATTTCTCTGGCCAATAGAATAGTGATAACACACATGGTATGAATATCTATTGCACTGCATAGTTTTGGAACTTATATTGTTTAAATTGCTTTTGAACTTATATTGCACATGTAAGTGAGCTTGGGGTGGAAGATCCTTGAGGACCCCTTGTCTTACTGAGAAATCTGTTTAGAGATCTCACCCCACGTTTGGGGCGCTTATCTCATGTTCAGGTAATGCGGGGGTTGAGACCTCTAGTGGCAGGAGGCCAGAGCTTAGTTGATAGTTGATACTTGCTGATTATACCGTTTATGCTTGGATGCTGGATTATGTTTACTGCTTCGTGCTTTTATCTTCATGTTATGGATTACTCTGTTGAGACTCTGTTGATTATGTTGTCTATTTGGTGAGCATGGGGATTGTCCATGCCACGTTGACTTGACTATGTTTTAGTTGGATTCGAGTTGTAATAATTGTATCAGGATATTGTCCGGACTACGTGTTGTAGATCCGTGACTTAGATACTCACTTATGTATCTAAGAGGTATTTCAGTTAGTTATCCTTTGCAATTACATACAGGCGATGTTATTATGAAATTGATTAAGTAATCAACTTGGCTAAGTTTAATGACATCATAATTGAAAAGAAAAAGAATATTCCGCATTTTTAATTAAGTGTGGCTTAATACGATAACATGTCAACAAATCGCGTATACACAGGGTGTTACATTTTATGGTATCAGAGCACTTTCTAGGGAAAAAGCCTGTATGTATTGCAATAACTTAGGATGTTTGTGCGAGTCTGCCTTATGTGTTTTCTTTGATGGGTTTTACTATGATAATGCATGTGTGACCACAGTGTGTGGGCCTGATCAACTCATTCCTTATGTAACTTGTGCAGAGTTATGGTAATACCTAGGAGAAGCCGTGAGACTACTGAGGATCAGCCGAATCCTGTCCTGACTGCATTGGCTGAGATGCAGGCGGCTAGGTTAGCCAATCAGGAGGCCGCTAGACTGGCCAACTAGGCTATGATGGACGCCGTTCGAGAGGCAAACCAGAAGGCCACGGAAGATGTTCTTAAGGCAAACAAGCTGGCGAACATGACCTTCATGAGAGTCATGTTGGAGGAGATGCGGGCTGGCCGCAATGAGGGTCAGTTCCCACCGCCTCCACCTCTACCTAGTCTGCAGGATGAGAGCCAGAGCCATGTTGAGGGCACTGGTCAACTCACTGGGGTGATGGAACCCTATATGGAGCCTGCTGAAGACCGTTATGTGATTGATCACTGGCTTAATGCCTTCCGCAAGCATGGGCCACCTTCCTTTGATGGGTCTTATGATCCTATTACCGCGGCGAGATGGCTTCAGGCGCTCGATAAGATCTTCCGGGTCATGCAGTGTACAGATCCGCAGAAGCTGATGTTTGCTACCTATATGCTGGAGGGCGATGCCTATGAGTGGTGGATGAACACCTCTCACGCTTTTGAGATACACCGTCATGTAATGACATGGCCATTCTTCGAGGATTGCTATATGGGTCGGTACTTTCCCTATGATGCACAGGAGAGGAAGCAGGGGGAGTTCGACAGGTTGGTTCAGGGCTCGTTGTCTGTTGACGAGTACCTGGCCAAATTCAATGAGTTGGTTAAGTTCGCTCACTTTCGAATGGATAGGCCTACTCCGATCTTCTTGGCTGCTAAGTTCCGCAGGGGACTTAATAAGGATATTGCTGGTTACCTCGTTGTTCTGCTTCGAGAGACTTCGAGACACTGGTGCAGCAGTGTCGGGACATCGAGGATTTCTGCAACTTGAGTAAGGCCAAGAGGGCCAAGGTTGCTGATACGAAGGAAACTGGTAGTTCCACTTCCTGGAGGGACAGGAAGTTTGGGAGCAAAGGCAAGGGAAAGCAGTTGGCGGCT